GAGGGTTCCCCACCTTGTAATTCTAAGGGTAGGCTATCTCTATGACGGGCGCTTCCCAGGTAGGTGAAGTATTATTTATCCACAAGAGGGGCACTTTCGGACAGATCTGAATGATATCCTCTTTTTGTGTATAGTTGTATATCTGTATATAGAAACTTGTGTTTGTTGTGTGCGTGTGCTTGTGTGTGTGTGCGTGTGTGTGTGTGTGTGTGTGTGTGTGTGTGTGTGTGTGTGTGTGTATCGTGTTTTGTGTGTGTGCAATTATGTTGATTACAATCTGACTGTAAACTTCCTTGTTTTTTCTTGACAGCTACTTCAGAAAGATGCGAGAGTTCATTTTTTTCCGGGTCGTTCTTGAGACCCAGCAGCATTTACGTATCGACTGTCTGCAAAAGGGCGAAACAAAAAGAAACAATTGATTGCCTACCGTAGTTCGGTCCTTCTACGTGGTATTCGTTTTCTACTTTCAGGTGACCAAAAAAAATAGTACGTTCCTCGCAAGTGCGTTGATTTTGTTGAAACCACCCCACCAGTTCGGGCGAGCTTTTCAAAATCAGAACCACCCAACAGTTCACACGAGCCTAAGCCGATAAACGAAGCTTACCTTCCGATGCTTGCAGTCCGATGCTTGCAAGCTTACAACTGCGCCTTTTCAAAATGGCCTCTGCCGCATTCTCTACCACCCCGGACCTGAATCGAATCGAAATGCTCTTGCTCCGTAAACCGGTACGAGCGGTACTCTGCTTTTGGAGAACAGGCGGCGAAAGACAGTTCGCCTAGCCGAGTTGGTGTTGGGTGATGGTCGTGGGTGGTTCACACTAAGGTAGGACAGAGGGGGTGGGGGTGCGCAGGGGTACTTGATTAGAGGAAGGGTGGATGGGGGTCTTCTGACGAGGGTTACCCAAAAAAAAAAAAAAAAAAAAAAAAAAAGACTGCACAGACGTAGCGTGGTCTTTTTGTTATTCTAAACACAGTTACGACACTGTCACAAAGTTGTGTGCTATCATCTGATTCTGGATTCTCTCCGCCCCCGCGCGCCACCCCCTCCTTGCAACCCCCTCACTGCCTACGAGGGGCTGTGACAGACTGTTTTGTTGGCGTTGCAGCGACTGATCAGGAGGCTGAACCCTCTAACAGTCTGCACAAGTCCCC